GGGGTTCCTTAGGTCAACGCCCCGACTGTAGGGGTAGGGTTCGCAGGTGGCCCCCCCATCCGTGGGGCCCACCTCGGAGCCGCGAGGGCAGGCCTGCGGGCGGGGCCCCCGCGCCTGGCCCGGGGAGGGGGGGGGGGGGGGCGGGGGGCGAGGCTCCGGCGCGCCGGCTGCGTCTGGCGGAGGCTCGGTGGCGGTTTTCTGGACAGCTTGTCGATTCCTCCCCCTCCTCCCCCTCCTCCTCCTCCTCCTCCTCCTCCTCCTCCTCCTCCTCCTCCTAGACGAGACGGGGGCCCGTGTCGATTCCCCCGTCTCGATTCGATCCGATCCGATTGGATTCGATTTCGATCTGTTTCGGTTCTGATTCTCAGGCTTACGCCACACCGCCGACCCCTTGGGGAACTCGCGGTTGCCGTGTTTTGCTTGTGAGGCCTTCTAGGGCGCCTTTTCGGGTCCTTTTGGTTGGCTCTTGGTGTTTTCTGGAGGCCTTCTCGGGGCCTCCACGTCGGCCCAAGCGGGGCAATCCGGTGGTTTGCGCGAAGTGCTATAAGGCGGGACGGGCGCTGCGGAGCGAACCGCCGAAACGCCCTGCGGAGACAAGCGACGAGCACGGCGGCAAGCAACAGAAGTTGCGAGGAGTCTGACCGCTGGGCCCGGGTTGTGGGTATGAGGTTTGTGCGGCGTTCGCTTGGATCACCTTGGGGAAACTTCTCGCAGGCCTCTGGACGGTAGTCTCGAAGCCTCCTGAGGGCCGTTTTGGGGACTCTTGGGGCCTCTTGTGGGCGTCTTGGGGGCTTTTTGGGGGCGTCTCGGGAGCCTCTGGGGCCCTTTCGGGCGCCTCTGGGGGTGTCTTGGAGCCGTCTGGGAGCGGAAGGCTCGGATTTTCGGTGCGGGCTACCCCGCTTGGGCCTCTCTGGGAGCCGTCGTGGGGCCTTTCCCGGCCGTTTGGGGAGCCTCTGGGGCTGTCTTGGCGCCCGCTTGGGCCGCCTGGGGCTTCTTGGAGCCTCTTCGGAAGTATTGGGGTGGTCTTGGGGGCTTCTTGGACTGGCTTCACCGCCGTGAAGGCCGAAACGTCGCGCGTGCTAAAAATGTACGTTTTCCTAGTGGAAATTGATGAGTTTGGCTTCTTCGATGCCTTCTTGGGGTGCCTCTTCAAGGCCTCTTGGGGCATCTTGGAGGCATTGTGGGCTGTCTTGAGCCCATATTGGGGCATCTTGGGGGCGCCAAAATCCACGTGGAGGTCATTTTGGGCCGTCGAGTTGCGTCCTGGGACCATTTCGAGGCCACGGAGGAGCCCCTGCAGGATTTCTTGGTGCGGATGACCCCCCCGGCGGATCCGGCCGGACCCCCCCCCCGCCCTCCAAATCGACCGGACCGGGCTCCCGGGGGAGGGGTTTGGGGAGGGGGGGGGCATCGTACACGCCGATGAACCCCAAGGGGTCGGCGAATTTGGATAACTTCCCTCGGGGCTCGTTTCGATTGCCCCGTCTCGATTCGACCCGATTTGATTTGATTCGATTTCGATATATTTCGATTCTAATTTGGACAACTTCCCTCGGGGCTCATTTCGATTCCCCCGTCTCGATCCGGTTCTGTCTGATTTCGATCGATCTCGATCCTGATCCCGACCCGATTCGTCTTCGGACTCCAGTGTGGGTTCTGGCCTCTCCACGGAGGCCCCACTGGGCCTGCCGATTTTTGCGCCGACCTGACTTCTCCCGACGCGGCTTCCCATTTCCGCCCGTTCGATTGCTTTCCATCACCGGGGTTGGCTTCTCGACTCGATTCTGGGTTTTCCTGTCCCAGGTCGGCGGCCGCACGGGCATGCGGGCGGAGTGGTTCCCCCGCCAGAGCGGCTTCACGGATGCCGACCTCGCGGCCGAGCGGAGCAGGGCGATGGCCCTCCCCGACCCTCCGGGCTACAGCGGGCCCAGGTACACGGGCAGGGGCTCCATCACGGACCAGTGGATCAAGGACCTGATGGAGATGCAGAAGAGCGACAAGCGCCTGCCCAAGAAGGACGCCACGCTGATGGTCCTGGACGTGATCGACATCCTGGGGAAGGAGCCCAACGTCGTCTCCCTGAGCATCCCGAGCGGCGGCAGCGTGTCCGTCGTCGGGGACACGCACGGCCAGTACTGGGACCTGTTCACCACCCTCGGCATCACCGGGCCACCGGGCCCCAGCAACCCCGTCGTCTTCAACGGGGACATGGTGGACCGCGGCTCCTGGAGCATCGAGGTCGTCTTGTCCATCTTCGCCATGAAGCTGAAGGACCCCCAGTTCGTGGGCATCAACCGTGGCAACCACGAGATGCTGGAGGCAAACATGATCTACGGCTTCTGCGGCGAGTGCGAGGCCAAGTACGGCACCGACCTCTTCGACCTCTTCTCCGAGGCCTTCCGCCGCCTGCCCCTCGGGCACCTGGTCGACAGCAAGGTCCTGATCCTGCACGCGGGCGTCGGCGGGCCCGACCCGCGGATCTGGATGCCAGGACAGACCCACGATCCCACCGACTCGATCCCGCTGAACGCGAATCTGCCGACCCTGGCCACAATCCAGGCCTCTATAGGCCTCCCAGATGGGGCCCGAGCAGGTGGGGTCGAAGGATCGCGCCGCATCGCCGATGCATCGATTCGATGCGGCTCGGTGTGGGGCCCGATGTCCTCCGCGTCGACGTCGCCACTGCATCGCCAATGTCGACGACGCGTCGCCGATGCGTGGCCGATGCATCGCCGATGCGTGGCCGGTGCGGCGCCGTCCTTCGACCCCAGCCACGCGGACCCCACCTGGAAGGCCTCTGAGGCCGTGGACCGAAACATGGAGGTCAGCCCCGACGCCTACCAGAACAGCATCGGGCCGTCCAGCACCGACAAGGCCGTGATCGACGAGAGGCTGTTGATCGACATACTCTGGAGCGACCCTCGTGGAGGCGGCGGCTACGGCCCGTCGTACCGCAAGTCCAAGGGGGTCTACATGTACGGCCCAGACGTGTCGGCGGCGTTCTGCGAGGCCAACAACCTGCAGTGCATCATCCGCTCCCACGAGGTCAAGGCGGACGGATTCCGGTGGGACCACCCGAAGGTGGTCACCGTCTTCAGCGCGCCCAACTACCTCGACACGGGCAACAACAAGGCGGCGGTGCTCAAGCTGACCCAGACGGGCCCCGGCAGCGAGATCGTGATCACCCCCAGCGTTTACGAAGCCGCGAAGCACCCAGACCTGCCACCCATGCACTGGCAGTCCATCATCACAGAGAAGTACCCGCACCTGACCAGGAAGATGAAGAAGAAGGAAACCGCGTCGGACTTCGACGACTTTGGCGACTCCGACTTCGCCGGCATCATGAACTTCGACGAGTGGGAGCCAGACGAGGCCGAGGCCTTCCAGGACGCCTTCAAGCTCGACGGATACGGCCGCGAGCTGAAGCCTGGTGAAAAACGAGTTTGAATAGAGAGGGAGAGAGAGAGAGAGAAAGCGAACGCGAATTTGAAGTGCGCCGGTTTCAAGTGATATGTTTCTCCGTTGGCAGGACGGTTCGTCCCCCCTTTCTCCTTCCCTCCTCCGTCCTCCGTCATTGCTTTTATGTCGGGCCTGTCCATCTACAGGGTGAATCTTCAAACATAGGGAAAACTAGCCTGGCGAAGGACCCAACCACATGCAGGTGTGAATACCGCAATTGTGAATATCTTCTTCGGTGGCGCTCCCTATGGGGCCACGAAACGCTGTACTGGGTGGGTCAAACGCAAGGAGCAAGGGCTTTGATGGGTGGTGGCAGACGCATGCTGGCGGTGCCACTGGGACCTTCGGTGGAGCCCCCATATGGGGCCACGGAACGTTGTATTGGGTGGGTGAAACGCGCAGGGAACAAGGACCGTGCTGGGTGGTGGCGGACGCATGCGGGCGGTGCCACTGGGACCTTTGGTGGAGCTCTCTATGTGGCCACGAAGCGCTGTACTGGGTGGGTGAAACGCAGGGAGCAAGGGCTGTGATGGGTGGTGGCAGACGCATGCGGGCGGGTCACTGGGACCATCGGTGGAGCCCCCTATGGGGCCACGGAACGTTGTATTGGGTAGGTGAAACGCGCAGGGAGCAAGGACCGTGCTGGGTGGTGGCGGACGCATGCGGGCGGTGCCACTGGGACCTTTGGTCGAGCTCCCAATGTGGCCACGAAGCGCCGTACTGGATGGGCGAAACGCAGGGAGCAAAGGCTGTGCTGGGTGGTGGCGGACGCATGCGGGCGGTGCCACTGGGACCTTCGGTGGAGCCCCCTTTATGGGGCCCCGAAGCGCTGTACTGAGTGGGTGAAGCGCAAGGAGCAAGGGCTGTGCTGGGTGGTGGCGGACGCATGCGGGCGGTGCTACTGGGACCTTCGGTGGAGGCCCCTATGGGGCCCCGAAGCGCTGTACTGGGTGGGTGAAGGAGCAAGGGCTGTGCTGGGTGGTGGCGGACGCATGCGGGCGGTGCCACTTGGACCATCGGTGGAGCCCCCTATGGGGCCACGAAGCGCTGTACTGGGTGGGTGAAACGCAGGGAGCAAGGACCGTGCTGGGTGGTGGCGGACGCATGCGGGCGGTGCTACTGGGACCTTCGGTGGAGGCCCCTATGGGGCCACGAAGCGTTGTACTGGGTGTGTGAAACGCAGGGAGCAAGGGCTGTGCTGGGTGGTGGCGGACGCGTGCGGGTGGTGCCACTGGAACCTTCGGTGGGGCCCCCATATGGGGCCACGAAGCGCTGTGCTGGGTGGGTGAAACACATGGAAGAAGGAGGAGGGAGGGGAGGAATGGGGAGGAGGAGGAGAAGAGGAGAGGAACGCGGAGACCATCTCTTCGAAACGAGGACCCTACACCACAGGATGGTTGGGAAATAGTCCGGGGACGTCTTGTTGGTTTTATTGCTGTTTCTCATCTGGGGGGTATTTGTTCGAGTATTGTTGATTTGTCGCCCGAAATCTCCTGTAGGGACACGCCCGACTTAACATGACTCGCTGCTGCTGCACGTGCTCCGCCAGCCGGTGTGGCAGCACATGCAGTATATGTTACAGGTCGGTTTTCGAGGTGCGAGGTGCGCTCCTGTACCAGATGGTAGCGGCACTGCCCAGCGAAAATCTGCTTACAATCACTGCGGGCGAAGGGGACGAATACATGGTGCGAGGTTGCTTGAATGATTGCTCCCAGCAGTACCTCATGAGCGAGCCATCTGGGAATCTGCATGCTTCTGGCTATGGCTCATCGTCGGGCATCCGTGAAATCCAGCTGCTGGTCATAGCATCCGCACAGGGAATTCGCGGAATGTTGTTGTTGCAGATCCTGCGCTGATGGCAGGGGCCACGTTGTTGGGCATCCTCGTGGGCTGCGTCTTCGGGAGGCCGTGCGAGCATTTTGAGATCCTTTCGTGAGAGGGACGTCCCAGTCAGTTGCCCGTATCACGCAGTGGCGAAGCGCCCTGGCTCGCCTATAGCTCCACCAAACATTGTTATAATAACCTTTTGTGGTTTCCACGAAATGTTTTTAGAACAGTTCTGGCGGAGTCTGTCTTGTTTGAACACAACGGGTTAATGGTCTAAGAACATTGTTTTTGTTCTAAGAGCACTTCTGGGTTCTAAGAACATTTCGTGGGAGGACTATACGAATGCTGGGACGGTCGGTCCCTGCTCAACCGTACGATAAATGTCAAGGCAGCAGCCTGCTGGTTGAGAGAAGCAAAGGGTGCCGAATGCGGCGCTCCCCGCTCTGCTCGCTGCCCGCTGCCCTCTGCTGCTCTATCATGTGGCCTGCGGCCCATCCCGCCAGCACGCCTCGGAGACTCCCCCTCCTCCCTCCTCCTCCTCCTTCTCCTCCTCCTCTTCCTCCTCCTCCTCTTCCTCAACCTCCTCCTCCACCTCCTCCTCCTGCTCCTTCTCCACCTCCTCCTCCACCTCTTCCTCCTCCATTTACAGTAAACTAGAAGAGGTGATGCAGGTGGCGGAGTCGAAGGACTTGCACCGCGGATTTCATGAGGAGGATTTGTTTATTCCGTGGAAGGGCATGGTGACGGTTGTTACGGAGATGGATAATGAGGACTTCGATGTTTTGTGCGATTGGTAAGGCTCTGGCGGAGGCTAAGGCTCTGGCGGAGGCTAAGAGAGGCTTCCAAGCTTGGGCTACCAAGAGGTGGAAGTCCACACCAGGTGTGTTCCACAGGTACGCGAGGAGTACCATCGACAAACCTGACGAGATCATCACCCCCACGGCGGTTTACTCCTCCCCCAACGAGATCATGGACTATAGGGCGGACAAGTGGCAGAAGGTGTGTTCGTCCCCCAGCTTCAGCCCCGCCAAGGTCTTCAAAGGAATCGAGTATGTCAACCTGCGTGCGAAGAAGGAGGGGTTGCCTGAACTGTCGGTGGAGGACATCCGATCGGCGGCCGCCAGCATGAACGCCAGGACGTCGAAGGGCGTGGACGCGATAGGCCCCGTCGAAGTGCAGCGTTTGCCGAACGAAGCGATCGAGGAGCTGAAGAACCTTTATGCAGCCATAGAGACGCACTGTATGTGGCTTGGTCAGGTGTTCGTGGTCATCGGTGCGGTTGCGCCCAGACCCCGTGGAGGAGATAGAGTGCTGGGCCTTTTTACCGTTTTTGGTGGAGTTGTGGGCGAATGTCCGAAGCTCCGTGACGCTACGGTGGACCATTGGTGCGGACGAGCACTGGGACACGGCCATCCGAGGGTCGTCAGCGCTACAGGCCGCCCTGGTTCGAGGCCTACTCGATGAACCGGGTAGAGAACTACAGATTTCTTCAGCCACCCTCCTGTTGGACATCGAGAAGTTTTACGACAGCTTGGGCATCGCGAAGTTGTGCGCGGCGGCCTTGACGCAAGGCTTTCCAGCTACGGTGTTGTCATTGGAGTTGCAGATGTGTCTGGCGCCCAGATACTTGAAGGATCGATGTTAGATTCCACATCCCATTCTGTCAGGGCGAGGCATTGTGGCAGGTTCTCTCAATGGGGGTCGCATGGCAATTTGGGGCCTCTCTTGGCCAGACCTCACGACATATACGGTTTTCAGATTTTGTTGCGCACACTTGTAGATGACACAGTTATCAGAGTCGAGGGCACCGAAAGTAATGTGATTGACGCTATAGCAGAGCCAGGCAGCTGCATGTGTGAGGAGCTGGTTCGCGCAGGTCTTACGGTGAGTGACAAGACGGTTCTGGTGGCCTCCTCGGGCAGGGTTGCGTCCCAGGCCGTGAAGCAACTGCGAGACCGTGGGGTACTTGTTGCAGTTTCCACGGGCGCTGCTGACTTGGGAGTGGACACGTCGGCGGGCAGGAGGCGCAACCTCAAGAAGATGAAGGGACGAATAGCGAAGGCTCGTCGGCAATTTACATTTATATGTAGAACGCGACGGCACCCGAAGCTGAGGTACATCACTTCCTCGTTGTGGTCGATGGGAGTCCGTCCTCAGTGTACTTACGGTCATCCAGTTTACGGAGTGCCCAACCATCTCCTTACGTGTCTTCGTCGGCGAGCTGCGCAGTGTTCGGTCGGCAGCGGGCCTGGACGATGCCTGACTACTGCGGTGGCGATGACGTTACAAGCTCGAGATCCTGCGAAGTCGATTCGGCGCGAACAGCTGTGCTCATGGTTGAAGATGCGGCGAGAACATCCTGAGTACCATGTGCGTGGGTCCCTAGCTTGGGACCAGATCAGACTACGACTTCAGATCGCAGGATCGAGGGGATGGCGGCTGGTGAAAGTTCCGATTGGAGCTACGATTGCGACATTATATGACATTGGTTGGCACCCGCGATCCCCCATGGCTTGGGAATCTGATCAGTGTTGTTGGTCGATTCCGTCTGTGGTGGACGACGAGTGCAGCAATTGTCTTTGCGACTTTACTGATATCCTGGACGACGTCAAGGCGACCATCGACTCCCAGCTGTGAAAGTCAGCGGCGAACCACTTGGACTGCGCGGACCGCGGCGGCGGTGCGGACATGTACCACGTGCGCAGAGAGATGGCCAGGCTCGGCGCCAGCGACCTGGGCGACGAGTGGCCTTGGACGTGGTGGTCGTCGCGAGGGGCCAGTGGACGCGCGAGCGTCTGAGTGAGGCAGGCTACGAAGTCCCGAGTCACTTGCGTCCACGGTGCCAGAGGGCACCAGGGACGCTGTTTCACAGAATTTGGGCCTGCGAGGCCAATGTCGGCCACGATGATTTCACGAAATCCGGTATTTTATATGATCAGGCCCGAGTTAACCACGAGAGCGCTCCGAGCGATTGGCTCCGTGGGGTCCCAGGGAGAGGGGGAACGATTCCCAGTTTCAACGACGGACCCCCAGAGACCAGGAGCTTCGGGGACATCAAGTCTATCCCGGGCGACGCCGAGAGCTATGCTGCCGTTTTCGGGGACGGGCCGGGTGGTCGCTTTACGGATGACCCTCGGCGTCGCAGGGTTGGCGCAGGCGTAGCGGCGCTCGCGCCAGGGGGATTATTTTGGAAGTCGGCCTGGGGTTTCGGAACCACCATCCAGGGGAGGAGGCAGACGGTGCCTCGCGTGGAGATTACTGCCCCCGCCTCTGCCCTGGAGCTCCTCCCAGGCCGACTGCGTTTCATTACCGATCATCTTCCGGTTCTGTCGGCCTGGCCCAGAGGAAGGCGTTTCGGGTTTGAGAACGCTGGGGGAGCCAATGCCGACCTCTGGTCCAGGGTAGCTTCAGCACTCCAGGCCAGGGAGCCTGACGACGTGCTGCTCGAATGCGTTGCCTCCCACCAAGAGGAGGCGACACTCCGATCCGACGCAGACAAATTCCGTGCGTTCGGCAATGGGTGTGCTGACGCGATGGCGTCGGCTATGGTTGATATTTCGTGGACCAGTTTTGTTGCATTCGGAGGCCGCCTTGATCCGACGGCGTGCTCGTCGGGTCCTGGGATGTGCGATGGAACGGCCGAAAATCTGTGATCCTGCACCCATCCCGAAGTTGGCGCGTGTTTTGAGGGACTCCGGCCATCGGTGGTGTCGTGTGGGTGCGAAGTTTTATTGCACGCAGTGTTCGCAGTTTTCGAATCACGATCAGATTTTTGAAGCGTGTGCGACCCAGTGCCCGTGCAAGCACTTTCGGAAGTTCGAGCCTCTTCGTGGACCCCAGAGACTGAGCGGCAAGGTCCTCCACCCGTCGCACTCGCTGCAGTATTGGAGCATATACTGCCTCACGTTCTGTAGCAAATGCGGGTTTAGTTGCACCACCGACCCTCGGCAGTTGGTTAAAGAATGTGCCTCTACGCCCAAAGAGAGACAGAACTCAGCTCGAATTAATGCGGGTAAGTATCATACTAAGACGCCGACACACACACACACTGACACGGAGACTCACTGTCACTCGGACCCACTGAGTTGCGATGTTCCGTGATAGTGCAGGCGTGGCACTCGGGCACCCCGAGAAAGAGCCGCAGGAGGGCACAGTCGGCCCTGAGCGGTAGGTCGTCCCTGCCAGACTGAGGGCACCTCTGTGTCCTGTCCATCCCGACCTACCCAACCCGCAAGTCTTCTGGTGGTCTGGGGCCACGTTGCCGTCGGAAGAGTCTCGTGTCCTCTCCCGTGTGTGACAGGCGCCAGTGCGCGGCCAGCGCTGTGGGGAACGTCTCGAGCGGTTGGCCCGTTTCGGCGCCTGGGGCTTGTCTCTCTGCGCAGTCCTGGCAGCGCCGCGCTGCAGCAAGCGTGGCACCCGGGCTTCCCCCGGCAGGAGCCGCCAGGGGTTTGGGCCATCGCGCCCGCTCGCGGCCGCATCGGAGGGGCGTCTCAAGCGTTTTCGCCGGCTTCGGTGCTTCGGTTTGTTCCTTTTTGAAGGATTATATATATATATATAGAGAGAGAGATGTTGCCGACAGGGATATGTCATTCGCCCGTTCACGGCCAGTTGGGCGGGACGGCTCAAGCAGCTTGTCTGCTTCGGCGGCCCGCACCGTGTCCCTTCGGGAGTCCGCTGCCCACCGCAATCTGGCAGGTGCAGCATTCTCGGGTGCACCAGGGAGCCTGCAGGGGGTATGGCAACAGCCCGTTCGTGTCCAGCGTCTGGGATGCCTCGAGCGGTTTGCCTGTTCGGCTTACAAGACTTCTTGCGTTTGAAAGCCCGGTGGTCCGCGATATAGGAGGCGTCGCAGTGGAGCGCCCCAAGGAGGAGCCGCCAACTCCCGTGCGCGCCTAGACTGGGGGGGGGGGCGTCGCAGGTTCTTTGCCTGCTTGGCTGCCCAGATGTGCGAGCCTCTTGTGGGAGCCCAGGGCTCGAGCGAAACGCTGTTTTTTGGGGGTCTCGTGGGCCGTTTTCGCTCGGAGCTCGCTTCGCGGCACGGGTGGAGCGGCGGCAGAGGCCGAGGAACTCAAGTGAGAAACAGAGCGAGCCCCAGACACGGCATGTATGCGTCAGCGCGAGCCCTGTCAGAGCCACAGGCTCACCGCGACCTCGCGGCCCCAGGGATAGGGGGGGCCACATGCGAACCCTACCCCCACCCCCCCACGATTTCTGAGGGGGGGAGGGTGGGGTTCGCCTCGCTCGGGCGCTCCCGAGCGAAGCGACCCCCACCCCCCCCTCTCAGAAATCGTGGGGGGGTAGGGGTAGGGCTCGCACGTGGCCCCCTAAGGGAGGAGCCGCCAGCCCGCGCTCGCGCCCAGACTGGGATGCCCGATGCCTCGGGCGGGGCCTGCCCGTGGGGCAGCGCCCGTGGAGCGACCAGCGAGTCCCAAACGGCCGCGAGCACGTGCGAGGTCCCGCCCGGCTCGCCGCACCCCTCGGGGGCAGACGCTGCTGTGGGCACCTCCGACCCTTCTCCTCTCAGGAGGGGAAAAAAAAACGCGTCTTCGGGTTGGGTTGGGGTGGTCTGGTAGGTAGTCACCTTCAGAGAAGGCTCGCGAGGGGCGTGCCCGGCAGATCTTGCGGTGGCGGTCCTGCACGCCGCCCCCGCCTCGGGCGGCGGAGCGCTCCGCTCCCTCCGCCGGCCCACGCCGGGGGGTAGCGCTCAGTGTTGAGTCGGGCCTGTCGGGCCTGTCCCTCTACAGTCGGGGGTGGACAGAACCCCCAACAGTGACACGTCGATTCGTGAATTGTCCGTGTTCGGTGCTCGAGAGGGCGCCGTGGCCGTTCTTTTCCAGGCCTGCGCCCGCCAGGTTTGGGCCTCAGGTCGTTTTCACTAAACCACGTTTTGCTAAAGGGGGGTCTGTCCATCCCCGAAAAACACACAGACACAAGTCATCGCCGACTCCCCAGAACATACGGGAAACTATGGGAAGTGGGGGGGGGAAGAGAAAAGCCCGGAAACTATGGGAAGATACGGGGAATCTCGTCATTTGTGCCTATTTATTTGTGTGTGTCCCAGGATGTGGAATCCTGTTACTTGTATTTATCTATTTGTGTGTCCCAGGGCCCCTTTTATCCTCTCCCGAGTCCCGCTGCCGTCCCGATGCTGGCAGGCATGGCACGAGGTCGCTCCGAGGGGGGCAGCCGCCGGGGAGCGCTCGGCCGCCACGGGGCGAAGGTTCTTCCTCGCGCAGGCGCGCGCAGGCGGGGGCTGCCAGGAGCCGAGGTGCGCACCACGTGGGGATCTTCGCGGCGCCGAATATCTCGGGAGCGGAAAAGAGGGGGGTGATGCTCAAAGAGGAGAGAGACAAGCTGGGAGGAGGGAGGACGAGTGGAAGGAGGGAGAGGATGAGGAGGAAGGGGGCAGAGGAGCTGGAAGGAGGGAACACAAGGGAGGGGACCGGAGGACACGAGGGGACGGCACAGCCACGCAGCAGGACGCATCTCTTCGGCACTGCCCCTGCTGAGGCCACTGGGAAGATCTCCACCACCCCAAAACATCGGGAGCGGAAAAGAGGGGGGTGATGACTAGGGGGGGGGGATATCATGGCGTGGGCCATGATATCTCCCCAGATCTCATGGCGCCTCTTCTTATTTCATTACGTCCCTGGCCCCCCCGCTGGGCCGCGCACATGCCGCCGGTCATGATTTGCACCCCCCCCTCTTGGACACCCCCCTCTTGGCCGCTCCCGAATATCTGTTACAAGAGATCGTTCTCCTGGGAGCGCGGACCCATTGCCCACCGCCCACCAAAGCACTCCAACCCAAACCCGGAGGCCCCGATTTGCCCTCCATTTCCGGTGGGGGGGGGTCGGGGAACATTGACAAAAAACACATCTGAACTCGTACCCCCCCAACCCGAATTTCGGGCGAAATTTGGGTCTTCGGGTTGGGTTGGGGTGCTCTGGCAGGAAGTCAATTGCGTTTACGTGTGGGATCGTGGCCGAGCGCGGGACCGTAGTTGTTCTAGGGCGGACCGCGGCCTCGAGAGCGCGGACCCACGATTCTGAATTGTGGATCGCCGATTTGGGAGCTTGGACCCAATCTACAGGAAAGTTCCTGTTCGGTTCGGTTCGGTTAGGTTCCGAAGCGCCTCCGGTTCGGTTCGGTTCGGTTCGGTGTCGTAATCTTCCGGTTCGGTTCGGTTCGGTGCGTTTATGTTTTGTTTCCGGTTCGGACCGGTTCCTGCTCCGGTTCGGTCCGGTTCCGGCCAGATCGCCGTCGAGGAGCGGTTCCGACCCCAGGCGATCCGATCTCGTTGCGCTCCTTTCGATGCCGATGGTTCGGAGGAGGAAGAAGAAGGGGCCCCAAAGGGGCCCCAAACCCTCAAAGGGGCCCCAAAGGGGCCCCGAAGCCACGACACCCTCTGAAGTTGATCATCTACTTCAGAGGGTGTCGTGGCTTCGGGGTCAGCGATCAATGCTTTTGTTTTGTTATGTTGTTGCCAAGGGAGACCGCGGAAGACGTGGGAGTCTGATGGTGCTTCTACGGGATCGGTGACTGGAGAGTAGCAGCCAAAGACCCACATTATTGGAATTGTATGACCGGAGATTTTCTTCACAACATGAGCGCCTGCTAGTTTTCACCCGCCTGTGCCCTAAGCGGCCGCCCCATCGCGGGCATACAGGCTTGACCTTGACCTTGACCTTGACCTTGTTGTTGCCATTGCTGCTTCAGCGCGCGTCTGCTGGAGCGCGGATTCCGTGCTTGCAGCGGGGGATCGAGCCCTCTGGCGTTTTTGTTTGCTTGATCGCCGTTTCGAGGGCACGGATCCACTGCTCTGACGGGGGGTCCAGGGTCTTTGGAGCGTGGGCCCACTGTTTTTTCAATGGGGGCATTGCCACGGAAACCGCGGAAGCGTTCTTCTCTGCTGCGAGGGACTGTCGCCCCGGGAGCGCGTGTCCGTGTCGTGTTTGCAGGTCTGCGGGACGGGAAAATGACCACAGCCACTGCTTCTTGTTTGCGCCGCCTTCCAGCCGGCCGAAACAGAAGCAGTGGTTGTGGTCATTTCCCGGGTGCCAAGCTCAACGAAAATGACCACAACCACTGCTTTGTTTCTGCGGGCTGGAAGGCGGCAACAAAAGAAAAGCAGTGGCCGTGGTCGTTTTCACGCCCCGTAAGGTCCCAGGTCCCAGGGCACCCAGAGATTCTGAGGACGTGGCGTGGGGGTGGGAGTGGCTTCCTTTCGGGGGGCCTGCCGGGGCCGCCTACGATCCGATTCGATGCGATTCGATTCGCCAGCTGGGGCCTCGATTCCGATCCGATTCGATCCGGCTCGGTTCACCGGCACCGACTCGGGGCTTGCCGGAGGCCGATTCGGGACGATTCGCAAGCGATCCGATCCGTTTCCGATCCGACGCGACTTCGCGAATCGATCCAGCTCAGGCGGAATTCCGAGGGCGTGGCTCGGGAGTACTTTCAGGCCGAGGGCGGTCGCCGCACGTTGAGAAACTGATGTGCAATGTGACATGCTGGGTCACTCAGCTGCTCTGCCGCTGAGCTTAGACTGAGATCTGGGCTGTCGAATCGTTGCCGAACCTGACCCTCGCCGATCAACGATGCAGGCAATTTGACAGGCGGCGGGGGTAGGGCCCAGAGTCCGTCGAACACGTTGTCACATACGAACCGTACCCCCGCCTCCCGTCGACTCAGGAGAATCGATGCTTGGCGGGGGCAGGGCTCGGACGTCGTCACTTAAGCTCGGCGCTGCGCCGACGGGAAATGGGCTGCCCAGCCGCCTCAGCCTCGTCCTCGCAGCCTGGTGGCCCCCCGCGAGGAGGGGCCGCCAGGACGGTCCTCTACCGCCGCCGCGGCTCCCCAGCTCAAGGGGAGGAACGACCGTCCTGACCTCTATCACTGGCGTCGACCAGAAGCCCATTCGCGTTTGCTAAGCAGCCCTGTCATGTTCGATTCCTCCGCTGCGTGCGCTTACTCATTGGCTTTGGCTGCCGGAGTGCTCATCATGAGGGCACTTCTTTTGCCCGCTCCTACTCTGGATTCCATAACCAAGGGGGGGGGGTCTGATTTGAGCTGCCTTGGAGGGTTCAGCGGGGTCTGGGCAAAACGCCGCCCTCTCATGGCTGGCCTGGGAGGATCTGACACTGCTCGCTCGGGAGGGTTGTGACCCACTACCTTTTTCAGGGATCAAGGAGGCGTGGATTAGCGACGGCTCCCGTTTCCATAGGACACCGCGGGTAGCCGCCGCCGAACGAGGCGGCACCGGCCGCATTTGGGGGAGGGCACCTCCCCCGATTCCATTTGATCCCTCCCCCGCGAAGGAGGGAGGGGGGGCCCGGGGGTTGGTCCCGGGGGGGATCCAGGGGTGTGGCCCCGGGTCAGGATGCCACCCTCCTGGAGCCCAATGGCCCGCCCTCTCCCTCCCATTTCCGTCGAGGGCCGAGGCCTCCAGGGTCGACCCATCGATCTGGCGACTGGGTCGCCACATCCGTGGGTCGCCGATCCATGCCTGCGCGCGCCCCCGACGCACGGGCGAGCTGGGGCGCCCCGTCGGCCAGCAGGCTCGGAGGGCGGCCCTGCGCACAGCCGGGCCCCTGCCTCGCGGGCCGTGGGCGAGGCTGCGGCCTGGGCCTGGGCTCCTACCTCGAAGCTTGGCGTACAGTCGGGGCCCTGAAGAAGGAACCCTTTTCGTTGGGGAGGGGCTCCGCGTTCCTCAAGTGTTTCGCAGCTTGCCTCAGGCTTTCCTCATGTTTTCGACCGGAAGTCGAAGGGTAACTTCTGGAAGAAAGGGGCCTCGTTCCTTCTTTCGGGTTCCTTAGGTCAACGCCCCCGACTGTATGCTTGATAGCTCTGCGTTCGGTGCTGGCCCCCTCTCCCCGTCCCAGGAGGAGAGAAGAGGGAACAGCGAGCTGCCAGGGGAGGGCCGAGGCGCGGACGAGGCGGGGGCGGCAGGGCGCACGGAGCAGGGCAGGCGGGGCGCCACAGCTGTTTCGGCTCAGGGAGGCGCCACAGCTCGCCTGCCGTCAGGGCCGATGCGGTCCCCGCCGATGTCCCGGGCCCGCCCCCGGCTCTCCGCGGGCGCCGCGGGCGCGCTCCTCGGCGGCGCGGCCGCCTGCTGCTGGCGGTGGTCCGGCGCGTTCCTGGCCGGCCCCGCGCGGCCCGCTGCGCCCGCGGGCCCGCGCCAGCGGCCGCTGGCCGGGGGTGCCTCCTCCTCTGCTTCCTCGTCCTCCTCCTCCTCCTCCTCGTCCTCCTCGTCCTCCTCCTCCCCCCCTCCTTCTCCTCCGCCGCCTCCTCCTCCTCCGCCTCCTCCTCCCCCCCCCTCTGCCTCCCCTCCTCCTCCTCTCTCCTCCTTCTCCTCTTCCTCCTCCTCCTATTCTTCGGTCCTGATTCTCAGCCTCCACCTCCTCTTCCTCTTCCTCCTCCTCCTCCTCCGCCTCCGCCGCCTCCTCCTCCTATTCGATCCTGATCCTCCCCATCTGCCTCCTCCTCCTCCTCCTCCTCATTCTTCTCCTCCTCCTCCTCCTCCTCCGCCTCCGCCGCCTCCTCCTCCTATTCGATCCTGATCCTCCCCATCTGCCTCCTCCTCCTCCTCCTCCTCCTTCTCCTCCTCGGCCTGCTTCTCCTCCTCCTCCTCCTCCTCCTCCTCCTCCTCAGTCGAGAGCTCTGCCGCACCAGCTCTCTCGATGTCCGCGCCCTCGGGCGCAGGCCAGCGCCGCCGCGCGCAGGCCTCTTTCGCTCGGCCTTGAGCCAGAGCAGCCGCAGCGGGTCGCCATGCTCGCCCGTGCTGCCCTTGCTCCCCCACGTCCAACTCCCGGTTCTCGACTCTGGTGGTGAACGTCTTCGGGTCATTGATCTCCAGCAAGCACTGGGGCCTGCCCGCCTGAGAATACGACCCCACGAAATCGATACGTATATGGAGAGGCCCTCTACGTCGTCGCGGGTGCTCGACTCGAAATATGACTCGATCACTGGAGCACTCGGCCCGTCGACTTCCAAGCCATGATCGGGTGTTGAACCTTGCACCATCCTTGTGCGATGAATTTCAGTGCCTCTCGTAGTACACTGCCTTTGGTAAGACCATCTGCACAACAGTCCCTCGTGTCAATCCACCATAGTACTCGTAAGATGGCTCTGTCCAGCAGCTATCGTATCCATTGCGCGTGGTACAGCGTGTGCCTCTCGGCCGGCATCTTAACTTGCTCAGCCGTAATGCCGGATAACACACTCTGCGCATCTACACAAGCCTACAGCGGCAGCACTGACAGCATGCAGTTCTCAGCGCCATCCACCATGTCTCGCAACCGTCGTACACTCATCGCTCCCATCGGAACCTCTGTCAAAAGACCCGCCAACAGGAGAAGATAATCACATCCATCCGATAGCTGGCACAACTCAACTCCACAGGTGCTTCGCACCACGTGTGCCTGCTTCCCCGAATAGTACTCCAGCGTGTTGCATTTGCCTCCTGGTCCTTTGCCATCTTCCACCAGAAGATACATTGCGCTCCTCACGGCCAGGCCTTTGCCATCTGGTTCTCTCCTGAAAGTTGCGTCGCCAGCTGTAACCAACTTCGCCGGCAGCTTCAGCTGATGCGTCACCAGGGGCAACACATTCATTTTTCTGATGTGGCCCACCTTGGGAGCCTTGAGCTGCCACGTATATGCATATCTCCACTCTCGTCATGATACACCACGCAATTGCTCCAAGGAGGGACGGCTACAACTTCACATGCTTCTCCGGCTGGTCGTCCTCGTCACTCTTGCCTTGTAACTCTTTGTCGTCGATGCAGTTCACTAGAATCTGACCATCATGTTTCAGCCAGGGTTGAGAATCGGCATGAGTCGCTCGAAGACCAACCGACAAGAACACGTGATCGCGTCAAAGGCCGAAGAGGCGAGAAGCGTCGTTGAGACCGAAGCTTCCCTTCTCCATCCGTAGTACTTCCAAGACGCTATTGAAACCTCGAAGGGCTCGACCTCGCAAAGCAATTAAGCCGATCCTTTGTGCAGCTCGAAACATATCTCTCGAATAGGCTCGTTCAGTAGCTGCGAAACCTCCTTGAACGTCATTACCTGAAGAAATGCCGAGGCTATGTCCGCACTGCATAGCTTCCACTGATGCTGAGCCGCCAGTATATTCACCACTCGCTGTCCCCAACGGGCGCTCGTCGCAGTGAAGGTCTTGACCTCATCCTTAGGGCGGTCCTTGAATCCACGTGCTGTCAAATTGCAGCGAATGATCCTCGTCATGGTGCCATCAGATGTTTGTGTCCACTTCCATTTATCAAAAATCAACACACTTCGCGTCGATGAGGTTCTTGGCATTCCTCCGCAAAATCCAGGACATGGCCTTGAAGCCTGCCCAGAGGCGCATCTCCTTGAGACGCCGGGCTCGTAATGCTTCTCGGTGTTCTATCTTTCCGGCCGGCGTCAGGATGTTGTCGTCGCGCTGTATCACTGCCTTAGCGGTGCCGTCCCCATAGAAGGTGAGAGCCACCACATTTTCTTCGTGTCTTGGATCCCCCGCGATGTAGGGTTCACTTAGCATCTTCCAGACCTTTGCTGCAAAACCAATATGCATGACCTTCTCGGGCTGCAGATACTCCACAATCTCAGTCGTCAGCTTGCCGTAGTTGTTGTCCTGGGTCATCCAGGCCTCCATGACATCGTAGTCCGTGATCACGTCACTCTTGTCGATGGCCGAGGTGTCTGGCTCCTCCGTCAGATACCCCACCAACTGTAGAACGTCGTTCTCATCTGGTATCTCTTTGCCTTCTTTCGGTATCTCCCTGAGCGCCCCGACGGAATACAGCTCATCGAGACTGTCGTCCTTGTCTTCCTCCTCGTTAGAGTCCTGCACGGCTGCTGCCGCTGGCGCCCCTTCCGCTCGGTGTGGGAGTCCAGGAGGAGGATGTGGAGGCGCCGGGGACTCGTCTTCTAGCCTCCCTGCCACATGCGCTGCCAGGCTCTCGGAGTCCTGCGAGTCTGCCGAGAAAGGCGCTTGGCTATCGCACGGTGTTCTCGCCGCCAAGCGCCCACGCCGGGCAGGTGAGACCCGCCCACGTGCGGTACCCGAGGGGCCTGCTCCTGCAGGATGTCCAGCACGTCGGGCTCTACTGTGAGGAACTGCGTGAGGTAGGTGGCGTTCCAATACGCTTCCGTGAAAACCTGTCGTGAGCTCAGATGCTCCGAAGCTGCGCCTTCACCGAGGCACATCGCTTCTGCGCCAGTGTCTTCCTTGCCCTGTCCCCATCGGTATCCACCAGCACGTCGTGTAGAACCAGAAGTCGTGCAGCCCAGGCAGCGTCGGCACGCTTCCGCCAACCCACGAGGCTACCTGCAGCATGGCCGCCACCTCCCTGGGATACCTCTGAGATGCCGTCGTCATCATCCAACCTTTTGAGGAACTCGCCCAGCCTAGGTGTTGGAAGCCCTCGCCGACGTCGTGCACAAAGGCGATGAGCACCCGAGCCGGGTCGCTCTCCGTCGACACGGGCGACACGGCGCAGGCGAACAGGATCGCCCTTCTGACGTCGGTGGCTTTGATCGCCATGTATGGGCCCTGGATCGTCAGCGCGCCCGTCTCTGGCGCGGCAGCCGACACCACCTTGGCTGGGCCCTTCCAAGTCGGCACGCCCTTCGGTGCCTTGCCAGAAAAACACACACACACACACACACACACACGCACACACACACACACACACACACACTGTGGGAAACAAAACCACACAGACTGTGTTTTTTTCCCACAGACTGTGTGTGTTTTGTGCGTGTGTTCCCCATGTGTGTGTTTTTGTGTGTGTGTGTGTTTTTGTTGCGTGTGTGTGTGTGTGTGTTTTCTCACAGTGTGTGTGTGTGTGTTTGTAGAAATCCACAAGATCGCCGATCTCGAGCCTCAAGTCCTCCAGCACTGTGGCCGCCCTCGACTTCGCTGCTCGCTCCATCCTGGCCTGTGCCGTCGCCTCGATGATCAATGCAGTCGCAACCTCGCGCAGCCTCTGAGCGTGCCGAAAGATAGCCCATCCGTTCTCGTCGTCGTACTCTTGAGCTCCACTTCAGTCGAAGTCTTTGAGCAAGAGAGGTACCCTGCCGTAAAGCGCCTTGTAGGGAGTGCCCTCTCCACTGGTCAGGAGCGCATTCTTCGCGTACACGGCCTCCGCTAGCTTCCTGGCGAATGAGATCCTGATGCGTTCTCGCGGCCCTGGGCGTCAATCAGGTGTGGATGCCTCCGTAACATCTCATGATGTCGCTCCACCACTTGCGCGTGCTGACCTGGCGCCTTGAGCTTTCGTGTAGTGCCGATCTGTCCGAGAGCCACTCCTGCTTCTTCCGACGCCATGGCGCCTTCACCGTCGACCGTCAGCACCGCCATGGGGCCAAATATCTGCATCCAGGCCGTCCAGATGACGTCCAGGAGGCACTCTAGGGATTAATCCACCAGCTCACGGGCGACAGTAAACCTAATGCACCCGTCGCAAAAATGTCCAATGACCCTTCGCTCGCAGAAGAGAAGATCCAGCTGCGCTTCGTCGGTGAACTCGACGCTCAGTTTTACCGTCTTGGTCGGCCTGTTGCCGCCTTTCATCCACAGCCCGCAGACCCTGCAGGTGCCTACGATGTCGTCGACCATCTGGGTCACTTTGGGCGGAACACCGGCGGCGGTGACCATGCGCTTCGTGGCCTTCTTGTTGGAATGAAGCCATCGGGGATGCATGCGTCGGAGAACGCGCCGAGACACCGCCTCGTTGTTCCTGAACAGCGCGCGCCTTGCCGAGCCCAAGTCCCAGCCCGACCAATCTCCGTCCAGGGCCTGCTCTTCTAGCGGCAACCTCACCTCCGTCCGGCACGTCTTCAGCATCCGCAACTTCATCTGGTAGTGGTATTCCAGCTCCTGGAGCCAGTCGTTGGCCGCTGCTCGGACTGGGCGTCGTCGGCCAGGTGTTGGCGGACCCACCTCGGTAGCCCACCTGCATTGTCCGGCGACAAGCGTCTGACCTGGCGCTGTCTCTGGCCTTCCTCGGGCGCACTGTTGGCACCTCCAGGTCCGTACTCCAGGCGTCGCTAGCCTGCACTCGCTAGGTATGCGCGTGTGTGCCACGTGGGTGCCGTTGCACGCTCTGCAGCTCCATTCAGAGTGCGGTCGCCGTCCCGCACGCGCTGGACGAACTCTAGCTGTAGCTGGAGGCCCGGGAGCTTCGCTCTCGGGAGTCGCCGCCACCGCGGGCGCTGGCTGCGCCACGGGGATGGAGTCGCCTGTCCTCTTGGCGGTGATGCGCCTCCGCGCTGCTGGCCCTGGAGCGGCCGGAGACGACGGCGTCGGCAGAACCCGCCGCGTCCCGGGGCGGCTGGGCCCACGCCGGCACACCACGTTGCCTGCTCGTCCACCGGCGTCGCTGCAGCGGCCCCAGGATAGGCCGCGTGGCTCTGCAGGCAGTGCGGCACCTCCGTATTCGCCACCTCGGAGATGTAGTCCACGATGCCGTTCGCGATGGAGGCTGCGAAAGACCAGGGCCACAGCCTGGCCCGCTCCGTCTCCTCTCTGCCTTCGATCGTCTCGTGCCCATGTCCGCCGTCGCGCTGAAACATCGCCTTGTGTCGTAGTGGAGCCTCGTGTGATGCCCAGAGCTCCGTCCTCTTCATCATCGGTACTCCACTTGAGTTTCTCAAGCCTGCCATGCACTGATCCACCATGGCGTGCACAACTCCAGGGCAACTCGTCGCCACGGTGGTTCATGATACAGCTTGGAGCCAGCTGGGCTCTCATGAATAAAGCCTCGTCTGCGCTCCAGCTGGTAGAAGGCCACCTCTCCGCAGAGGATGGCCAGCGGCTGGCACCTCTTCGTAGCTCTCGTTCCAGCTGTCCCTGGAGTTGAGCATGTCAATTCTCGAGAGGCGGCCGTATGGAGTACAGGGAGGAGCCATTGCCACGTCCATCACACCACGCTCCAAATAGCCCCAGAAGGGCCAATGATCGTCCGCGTTCCGAAGATCTGAGCCGCACACGGTATCGAAATTGGGTCGGGCTCGACATGTCCTGCGAACGCAGATGCGACTGACGGAGCCTCTTCCCCCTCAGATCTCCAGAACGTACATGCCGGACGTCGTCTTCGCGAAGAAGGCAACAAGATGCGTGAGATTGGCGGCCCGACGGACTCTCGGGCCTTCGCACCACGCATCTCCATTGTCGCCTGCGAGTCCGCGAAGACAAGAGGCATAGCACCCACCATCGTAGAAGTCTTCCTCGGTGGAGAGCACGAGGTAGTCATCGTCATCAGAGTACGTCTCGTATTCCTCGTAGATCGCGAAGAGCTCGCTGCTCATGCCCAGCCCCTTGATGGAATCACCGCAGTCATCGAAGTGATTCGCAATCTCGAACTTCTTCCTCATTGCTTCTTTCGGCTTGCCGACCAGGGCCTTCATCTTGGCGCGCATCCTGGCCTCGGTAGGGTATGAGCTCTCCTCTTGGCGGATGTCCGTAATCGTAGCTGGCGTGGTTCTCGACTCTGGCGGTGAACGGTTACCCTCAATAGCGAGGGCGTCGTTGATCTCCCAGAACATCGCCACCATGTATTGTAGATGTTGCTCGTCTCGTTGCTGCTTCCGCTGGTCGCTGTCTGATGAGCTCATCCAGTCGCTTTTGTGCCGTCGTTCATTGCCCTGGCACGCGCAAGGCTGTGCGTTGATCAGGACAGGCGCTTGAATGCGGTCGACCCGGCCGCTCCAACCTTGGTCGCCAGACTCCGCTGGAAGAGAGGGCACGTCGAAGGAGCACCAGTGGATGTCCGCCTCGTGGGGTACCTCCGTCCGCAAACGCATGACCGTCGGATGTGCCCGCATGGCGTTGCCACGTTCAGCGATCAGCATAGCGACCCCGCCTTCGGCCGCTTGAGCTCGAACGCACACCTCAAGACACCGCAGATGTTGTTGTGGGCGCTGTCCTCGTTCGGCTCCACGGCGCCCAGGTAGATCTGCCAGAGCAGTCGAAACCGTCCTTCCGTAAGCTGCCGCTTGAGGTCTCGAGACTTTTTACCGCATACCTGCTCGCATGCCAGCGCTTGAACGATTGGCCAGCCTCCCTCTCTTGCAGCGCTCGTCCTCGTGGCCAGACCGAGGCGGTGACCAAGAACCGGTACTCCAGATTTCGTCATAAAGGGAGGGGGGTCTCATTTCGGGGGGGGTCTCTTCCAGGCTATCTTGGAGGGCCTGGGGGGGTCTGGGGACGATGTTTTGGAGGGTTCTCCCACGGGGGGGGGGTCTGAAATGGCTTGTATTGGAGGGTCCAGACCCCCTCCCTTTCATTACGAAATCTGGAGTACTTGTTGCGGCGTCGCCTGATGGCGTCCGGCAGCCGCTCCGGCCGCCGCGACCGGAGCCCTTCGCCCTCAGTGGTGCCCTGAGCGTGCGGCCGGCGGCTCATCCTCGGCGCGCACCTCCTTCTGGGATGACCGTGGGGGTTCCTAAGTGGATAGGGGGGTTACAAGTGGATGCCAAGGTGGGTTATGTCTGGCCCAACCTGGCTTATAAGTGGGTTACAAGTGCCCTAAGTAGCTTAGGGGGGTTAACGATCTGGGCTAGGTGGGCTCCGCCCACTTAGCCGAGTTATCGACCCCCCCTAAGCTACTTAGGGCACTTGTAACCCACTCATAAGCCAGGTTGGGCCAGATATAACCTACCTTGGCATCCACTTGTAACCCCCCTATCCACTTAGGAACCCCCGCGGTCATCCAAGTTGTGAAGCGTCTCCTGCTTGAGCGCCGCCGCGGACTTGGAACCGGCTGCCGCCCTGGCTCTCGCGCGGCACGCCGCTACTTTCAGGAGGGGAAAAAAAAACACACAGACACGATGAATCGTCGATCCCCCAGAAAATATGGGAGAATATGGGAAGTGGGGGGAAGACAAAAACCCAGAAAATATAGGACAATATGGGGAATCCTATTATTTGTGTGTACTTATTTGTGTGTCCCAGTGCCCTTTCATACTTGCTCAGAGCTGCCTGGCACAACTCCGTATCCCGTGGCAGCAGGACCTTGATTGCCTTGGTCCTTAGGCTTCGTCTCGTTCTCGGTCTCGGCCATCGCGAAGTCAAGCTGTTCGGGCCTCGGTTGCAGCTTGTCTATCATGTACCTCGTCGTCTTCGTCGCGGCAACCTCCTTGAACTTCGAGCACGGGAGTAGCTAATGCCCGGTTCTACTGGCCTTCAGGTGGTAGCTCCTCGTACCGAGAGATAACGACAGCTCTCGACGTCCAGGCCCACATATATGTAGATTGCCAGGGCCGCACTCCATGATCGCATCCAGCTTCTTCAGGGAACTGTTTCCAAGCAGTGCCGGGACGTCGCTGTCAGGGATGATGGGCGCCGTGTACGAGTCCAGGTTGCTGGTGTCTCCGCTCTCTTGGCTGATCTCCTGCGTGCCGATCGGTCATCGCCACTGCTGGTGGCAGTAGTCGGGGTCCTTGCCGACGCCGTTAAGCTCCAGAGGTTCGTTCAGCATCATCTCTTCGGTGTTGTGGCCAAAACACGACAACCCCGTGGAAGTCCTTCTCGTTGTCGGCGAAGTCGATGCTCTTGTTCTGGTGGCCGTAGCTCTCGCGCTCGACCTCCTCATCCAAGTCACGCTTCTCATCATCGAAGGAGCTCTCAGACTCGTCGTCGAAGATCGAAAGGTCCACCTGCTGCTCTGCGACGACGGCCGCGTGAGTATCGTCGCCGGGTGAACTCGAGATCTGTTCCCAGCGGATCGCCGTGCCGGTCGCGCTCGGCGGTGTGACCGACGCTTGAGGCGGCACTGCTGTGAACGTGAGGCTGGCGATGCTAAAGGCCTCCTGTGGGGGGTCCCTCTCGTAGGCGCCGAGCCTTCTCAGTCCTTTCGGCATTGTCGGTGTCGCAGTCGGCGTAGCTGCTTTCGGTAAGACCATGCCTGACGGCGGGGCGGGAGAACTTCATGGCTTGGCCCCAGCGGTCTCTCCAGCAGGCGTCAAGATCGAAGATGGCCCAAGTATTTGGTCGATTCCAAAGGTTGGCTTGTCTGGCGTGAGTCCTGGGGTGTTCGTCATGAGTCATGCTCCTCGTCTCGCTCGCCCTCGGCATGCCCATTATTGGAAAGGCTGGTCCTCCACTCGCCGATGACGCGGGCCCGCTCGGTCTCGAAGGGGGTTCCCAAGTAGCGCTCGGCAGGACAGCCTTGGGTCCATCCTCCAGCTCACGTCGATCTTCAATCGCCATCTTCGGCTCTGCCACAGCCAGTGCGATCACAACTCCAACAAATCCATTCGAGCCTGTCGCGCTCGCCTTGCTACCAGCGGCTTCCAGCGTCTCGTTGGTCGCAATGTTCTCTGCTGCGAAGAAGTTGATGGCTCCAGAGCCGTAGGCTAGTGCTGATGATGTGCTCGGAAATGTCGCGGCCGCCGGAGATGAGTTGGCCGCAGTGCCTGTGTTGAGTCCAAACCATGGTACTCCAGCGCTGGCTCCAGCAACTGGCCGAGATCCGTCGGTGATGAATGATCCTTTCCCTTTCGGTTTCCCGCCTTGACTCTGCGGGCAGTCCTTTACCAGATGGAACTCGCCTTCGAATCCCTTCGTCAAGCACTTCATCACCTTGCCATCTCGACCAACTGGATTGCGTCTGCCTGTTCCTTCGATCTGGAGCCCTTGCCTCCATGTCCTCGCTGTCCAAAGGCCCCTCGGAGGGGTATCAGTGATCCTTTTCCGCTTTTACCTTCACTGAAACGCTGGAACCGTTTGGGCCGCCCTGTGAATCTCCTCCAGCGCTTCTTGTGGAATACGTAGTTGTGGTAGATGTACTGCTGGATCACATCTTCGTCCTTACCCATGTCGCCGGGGCAATCCGATCCGTCCAGGTCCTCGCCGTCGTCTTCGTCTGTGTCCGT